ACTAAGCTTCATCACTTCCATGATTCAGGCTGTCTACCTTTCCAAGAAAAGTCACTGGAATATGTGAAGGTCATTAACCAAGTTAGTTATGCTCAGCAAAGACAACTCTCACTCTTGTTAGCAGGCACCTGAAATACCTCAGTAAAATTTATCTTTGTGCTATAGAAGACTTTTTTCAAAGCTGAAAACAATGTGTGATATTTGCAACAGCAACATTGAATTGAGGGCCTTCTTCCTCTTCTGTTTTAAATTACATTTTAAATTATGATTATTATGTGCAGTGTTATTAAAAATGCAATTATTCTGCCATTTCTATCAAAAATAATACGTAGGAAACAAAGGAAATGCTAAGCTGAAGCTTGCTTGTGATCCTGTATTACACTTTTGTACCGTGCAGATACAGATGCATCTGCTGCATCAGAAACTTTTGGCACATTGCCTTGAACTTGTGCACCGTGGTTACAGTGACAGAAAAAATAGCACACATAAAATCTGACAGGACTGCAGCCTATCCCAGTTGCCATTACTTTTGCTTCAAGAGCTCTAAACAGCTTTCAATTCCAGCTTTTGATTATTCTCCACAATTTTAATGCAGCACAGTACACGAACGGCTGGTTTCAAACAAATCATCTGAACGTACAATTTGACAAGCACGTCGTGTTTGTCTTACTTAAAGCTCTGAAACAACTACTAACATTCTCAGTATTTTCAAGTATATGAATTTTAAAACCCAAACTACAAATGCTTTATCTTTGCCAATTCAGGCATGAGCTGCTTGTTTCTGCATGTGTGCTCATATATCTGTAAAGGAACATGGGGCTTGTGGAACTCTCAGGCATTTTATTTATACATTTTTCAGGCATGGTTTAAGAGGCTGTCATGGGGTAGTGTTCCTCAAAGTAGTCACCATGTGTCCCGTGTCCCCCATTGACTTCATTAGGAGCTGTGAGCACAGAGCATTTCTGAGCGTGCTAAAAATGTCAAACGGGGCATTGAGCAAAGAGGAAACCAGACCAGTAAAGAAAGCTCCCTGGAACAATGAGGTTTGATATTAAAACCCTGGTGTACTGTGTGTAGTATCTAACTTGCTTATGGGTAAAACATGTATGTTTTATAAAGCCTATGCATTTCTTCTATACCAGTTTTCAGCAAAAATCTTGCTTTTCAATGCAACTCCAAAAATTTCCAGGAAAAGATTGTGTACCTTTGTTGGTGTATTCACAACATCCTTAAAGTATATATTATCAATTCGATAACTATATTCGTACAATGAAAACCTGGGTGCATCTGGTATTAAAATCTTTGCCAAAATCTGAAAGCAGCACCTCTGTTTGCAAGAGCCCCAGAGCACACAATTGCAAATCAAAACCTTCCTACTTTCCCATGCATAGTTTAATTGTGGTCTTAAAATATTTTTGAAAGTGGGTCCTTTGAGCTTTGCCGCAGTCACACCAAGAAAATATTCATTATCTCTTTGAAGGCTTTCAGGCACACCATGTGCATATCCCAGCTTCAGAAAGTGGAAAGTGGCATTCAAGGGAGCTAAATCAGTAGCTCAGGAGAAACAAAGAGAGAAAGCAGAGTTTTCTAGATGAATGCTCCAACAGGGTCCTGCCTGCTGCAGTTACCCACCTCTATAGGTCAGGTTTTATGCTACTACCTGTCTCTTTTATGCTTGCCCTGTAAAATCAGCGTCAGTCACGAGGGATTCATGAAGTCTTTGACTCTTCTCCTTTCTAAAGGTCAGGGCTCAGCTTTTTAATTGGAAAAGCAAAAGGTGAATGAGCCTGACCATGAACACTGCAGTCCTTACTGTGTGCCTTAAGAGGCTCAAAGCCTGTCAAAATATGTCAGGGCTTTTTGGAGGTGCTCGAGAGGGAGGATGTAGTGGTGATTGTGGCATTACAAATTTATGCAGCTTCTTGGGAAAAGGAGACATTGTTTGAGCAAAAGCAATGCAGTGAAATCACAGGACTTGACAATTACAGTACCTGGAGCTGGAAGTGCAGAGCAGCCACTAATGTGAATTCAAGCAGATGATACCACTGTCACCCAAATATATGCTTAATTGCTCTTTTGATAAATATTTCTTTTCTCTTCATGAGAACTGTGCCATGTAATTCCCCTCTGATGGGAAAAGGAACATAAGAAGGGTTGGAACTGGAAAGCTGCAGGGCTTTATGTTTATTTTGATTTGTTTTACTTCCCCAGGGAAGTGGAGGGAGAGGGGAAAGAAGACAGACTGAACATGTCTTGATTTGGAAAATTAGACTATTTTTCTCTTTTTTTATTCTAAGGGCAATAGAAACACTACCAGCAGTATAAAACAGATACATTCCCTTTAGAAATTTTCATTGGAAACCTGCAAAATATTTTGTTTAGCTCTGATACTTATTGCAGTGTATCTAATGGCTGACCAGCTTTATTTCCCATGTTTCAGAGACCACTTCATTTCTTCTAGTAAATTCATCTTTCATCTGAACTTCATGTGTCTATATATTCCTATAGTGATCTTCAGCATGGATTCTGAACCAAAATGTAAATTAATAACTTTGTTATTCCTAAAAATGTTCATGATTAATTTAGAATGAAGTATTTTTTAAAAGCAGAGAATTACTTATTCCATCTTTAATTTTCTCTTTCTTACAGAGTGAATGCAGCAACTGCATATTTCCCTCAGTTTTTATCAGAGCACCCCTACACATGCATGTTTGTCACCTGTTCCATCTCTGCCCATGATGTTCAGACTGGAATTTGGGCAGGTTATGTCCATTGGCTTCTTTTGCCAAAGCCAGACTTAACATTCTCCATGGAATACATATCTCCATCTCTCATGCCTTCCTTTCCTACTCCTCAAGTCTCTCCACTAAAGTGCTCTGCTTTGGCTAACTTTACCTCCAGTTTAAAGCCCACATTTCTTCAATGGGCTATAAACATGTCATTGTCACCTCAGTGTGGGATCCTCCCCTGATATGAAAAATGTCTCAGTTATTGTGTGATATGCTGTTTACCATATCTGCTATTTCTTACATAATTAGTTTAATTGAATATTAAGAAGTATTGGAACCAAGGCTTAATTCTACCATTCTTCAGCCACCTTTCTTTCTGTATCAGTTCATATTCATCATAACATTTTTCATTTAAATTTTATCCAGATTTATCCAAGATTCTATTGCAAATTTCCTGTATAGAAAAACTATTAAGGATCTATGTTCTGTAAGAAGCCAGCATAACATTCACCTTTATCTTTTTTTTTTCTTTTTTTTTTTCTGTTACCCTTTTGTTTTTATCATACATATGTTTGAATGCAACATACCTGAAGGCATGAATGGCCCATAATTTCTGGAAGCAATGTGGTCTGTTTCTTACTGAAGTATCTTTTCTTCCAAAGATTGCGGAGCTTGACAGTTAGAAATGCTTTAACTTCTTCCTATTTTCATTTTTCATATTTTATTTAATTTCATTCATTCTTTCAAAGAGCATAAATTACTACTAATATACAAAAAATCCCAACTGATTGTGTACAACTGAAAGACCTTGTTACGTACCTATATCCTGATTTAGACTGATGGTGGACCTATTCTAGTATTGTCTATCTTATTCAGCATTGTAACACTCTTCCTGACCCTTTCTCTAATGTCTTAGTGTTTCACCTGCACTGAATGACTTCTGAGTGTAAGGCTGATATATCCCCATTTCCTCTGATAGTTATTTTAAAAAGATTCTGCTTTTATTGCCTATTCCCATCACAGGAATCACAGCACTCCTTATCTCTTGCTATGTCTATTCCATTTTCATTTACCTCAAGATGCTTCTTATTTCCCATTTTTCAGCTTGCTGTTAAGGTATTTGTTAGCAGGAGCACCTAACTTGGTTCACCTTATTTCATGAGAGAAGAAAAAATACACCCTCTGCCACAAAAATTTTCCCTGAGAAGAGGATAGTGTATTTTCGGATCGTCTATAACCTTCTTGCATGTCTCCATTTACTGGTCTATAACAGGAAGATAATGATGCTCACCGAGGGCTTAATTACATATTGTTAGAAATGTATTCAAGGGATTTGGGGAAAACCTGTCTTGGGACCCTTCTTCCTCTTGTGTTTTTTTGCCAGGTACCTGAATTCCCTGTTAGCTAATTTCATGCTGGACCTAAAAGGGTTTTCTCTAGTGTTCCTTCTCCTACTGAAGTAAGGCATAAGTGTCATCTTTGTTCTTCTGATGCAATGGTAGTGTCACCAGGACTTCCAAGAATTTTGCCAACAGTAGGGTAATTAAATTTCCCCATTAAAATGAGGTCCTATGAACATAAAGACCCCCAGCTCTCCCAGGGGAACCTTTACCCTCTCTCTGACAGACCATCCCATCAGATCTCTCCCTTTTCACCCTATTTGATGAAACATTATCGCCTAGCTTGTTACCATCAATATTTCGTGTGCATTACAAGTAGTTCGCTCACAGCCTCATAGCTCATGGGACTGAGAGCAACCTGAACAAAGGCACATTCTGGATGGCAGCACTTGATGCTACTTTTCCCGATGACAAGGTCATGGGGATGCTGCTGAGCACACCCATGAGCACACTAGAGAAGCAGGAGGACACAGGCAGAAAGCAAGAGGGTTATCCAGCACAGAGAGGCAGTACACACCATCCTGAGCCAAGTCGCCTGGCACTTCTCCACGGCACCTTACTTATCCTTCCCATGTGCCTGCCTGCTTTCTCTTTATGGCTTTTTGCCTGTAGGAAGCATGGGCTCTGCAAGGCAAAACCTGCTCCTCTTTTGCTTTGCAAGGGACCTCACAGCACTTATTGCACCCTTCTGTCTTTAAGTCAAGGTGAAGGAGCAAAAATTCTCACTCACGTAAGCAGATGGTAACATTAGAACACATTTTCTTGAGGGGATACCCCATATTGTGGAGGACAACGTTGGAAACCAGCTGCCACCCGGCCAGCCCCTGCCAGCCCCGCATTTCCAGCCCGCCGCCCTGGCTCCCGCACTCACAGCACGCAGAGGCAGTAGACCCCCGGGATGCTCTCGCTGTCCCGCAGCAGGTAGCTGCCGTCCGTGCCCGCCGCCAGCAGCAGCTTCTCCCCAGCCTCTCGGGTGATGGCCCCGTGGTAGACGGGCACTGTGTCCATGCCAGGGCCGTCTCCTGCTGCAGCCGCTCTCCCTGTGCTTGGCGCTTCCTCCGACTGTGCCTCAGCCGTGCGCTCCCTCAGCCTCCCCGTCTTGGTGGCAGATGTAAACAGGATGTGTTCGCACCCCTGAAGCCTCTGCACGGGGTGAGAGCACTGAGGGAAGAGTGAGGAACGAACACAGAATTTTTGTGGGTATTTTTTTCCTTTGCCCCTTTCTGTTCTCCTTTTACGTAGGCTATAACACCCTGGCACGGTCACAGCTCTCCTGCAGGGGTGTCATGTCACATCCACCCGCGGCCATGCGGCCCCCGCTCAGCAGGGATGGGGCTGATGGCCGGGGGGACAATGGCTGGGACAGGGAGTGCAGGACCAGGGCACTGCTGTCAGCGGCTCTGCCAGGCACTTCTCTCTTCTGGTGTTAACTCAAGGGGATTATCATCCCGAGCAGGGATTATTTTTTAACCTCTTGTTTTTAAAATCCCCAGGTATGAAACTAGAGGAAGTGAGCTGACCTCACTGTCACTGTCCCACCAGACCACTCACCTCAGGCTGCAGGTGCGAGCACAGCCCCTGCTCCACGCCAGCTGCTCCAGTGCCCACAGACAGCAGCCCCAGCTGATTCACCTCATGAGGGAGAGTTTTCAAAGCCTTTGGTGCTGTTTCATCACTGTTGATGTCGGGGTGGTCATTACTCACACTGGGAGACAGGCAAGAGCCTTGGCACACGCAAAGAGACCCCTCACATTTTCCTGGATGCCACTGCTGCCTTCATCTGGGGCATGAGCTGGCATCCAAAATCCAGAGTCATGTCTGAAAGAGCCATTTCTCTACACCTGCTGTGTCTGAAGATATTTTCTCAGTATACTTGTCAGTTGAATGCTCCCACATGCACATGCAGGTCTGTTTGCAAACAAGCTCTCAGTGTGCTTTATACCCCCACAGATATTTCCACCCCACAGATAAGTCCACCCATGGAAAAGCTAAGCACACTTCCCTGCAGTTATGGCCACCAGGCTGGCTCCACGAGGCTGCAGCAAGCTTAGGGCTAAACTGATCCCTAGCATGAGGCTGCCATCCTCCCTTAAAGAGCCACATTCCCACACCTGTGTGCATGAGCAAGAAGTCAGTAAAATATAGCAATAAGTATGGGTTGTGGTTATGATTGACTGCTTTTAAATTGAGTTTACTAGCACAACAGAGCAGGATGAAATAATCTCATCCAGGTACTCACAGATGCTGTGTCCTTGTTGAAGTTAAGGGTAGGTGAAAAAATAGCTTTTAAGATACACACAATTCAGGAAAAGAAATTAAATTTTAAAATACTAAAAATAATGGCTACTCTGTTTAAGTTTCAGTCAATAAAAGTGTTTTCTCTCAACCATTTCACAGTGCATGTCTTTACATTTTGATCTTCAATATAGTTTTTCCTTGGAAATATTTTTTTTCAAATTAGCTTTAGTTTTTCCTTTGGAGGGATAGGCATTTCTGATCAGGGTAGCTCATGCACGGGGCACTGCACAAAGTCACTGATGGCAAAGCTGCAGCGCTTGGAGGCCGAGAGCCTCTTTCCCCACAGGGAGACCCTGGCAAGTGACTGCGCCCTTGGCTGGCACTGAGATGCTGAGAAAGCTGCAGAAATCTCAGCTAAGAGAGGCTGAAAACTCCCACCACCAAGTTTATGGCCTTTCTATCTCATTATGCAGGTATTCATTACCCCCTTTAGGTGAACCTGGGGACTCAGACATCCTGCTTGGTTTTTTAAACCAGTTGTTAAAGTATTTGCACATAAAGTAGCTGCTGCCTAGTGCAAATCTGATTAATGTGGATGGCAACAAGCTGTAAAACTGCTGCCTATTTCTCTTCATTTGGGTGCTCTTGGGGATTTCATCCAACTTTCCCATTTCTTAACCTATTCTCAATATTAATAGCTGATTCCAGAAAAAGTATGTGTGTAATTAGCTGGAGAGGAAAACCAGCCAGAATCATTTAATTCTGCAGCTTTCATTGTCCCACTGATCAGATTTCAACTAAAGAAAATCATAAAACTTTCCACTGTGAGACCCTTTCCTAATGTGGAATCACCACATTACCCAGGCCAACCTACGTTCTCCAGCACTTGGGTGAAGAAACATCTATTACTGTAAAACAGCTGTAAACACAAAACTTCACTCATCTGGTTAAGAAATCTATACAACTCCAGCTATTGATCTCAACCCCAGGCTTCCATACAAATCCCTTTACAGCCCCACTGACTAGGGGAATTGCAGCTTTTAAGAAATCATAGAAATGCTGTTTTTGGGAACAAGGGACAGTAACACGGAGGCACCTGTCAAGGAATGAAATGGTCCATGCCTTAAACATCGTTATGAAGCAGTTTTGCCCATTACAGCAAAAACCTGTATAAAGACACTACAAGCACAGAAGCCCACTCCTCCTTGAAGATGCCTGACTGGAACTTCGGACCTTGAGTTAAGCCATGTAGATAAAATGGAGGGGACACTATTGTTCAATAATCTCAGGCTGAGGGAGAAGAATGCATCCACAAGAAATCCAAACCCAGCAGCTGCGCTGAGGATCATCTCTGTCTGTGTTGGGGTGTGGGAGACCACAGCCTACAGAGGCCAGCTTTACACAGACCACCCCAGCCAAGGGTAGGGGCACAATTTTTTTGTGCATGGCGTAACCTCTGGTCAGAGGCACTGAACATCCATCCTCCTTTACACAAATAGGCCCAGCTATGGAATCCCCAACCCCACAGGCCACATGCATGGGACATCTACATGGGAGGCAGCTGCGGGGCTGTCAAAATTCATCAAAGACCCTCAAAGACCCCCAGACTCATTGCTGAGGTCTTGCACCACAGCATTGTATGTGATGCAAAGTGATGCAACAGATCTAGAGCCTGCTGCAAGAGACTGACAAACTGCCCCACTCCCTGGGGGAGGTACCTGGGCATTCCCACCTGGCCTGAGCATATATTATTCCATTGGATTCTGTGGTTTTTGGGGGACCCTCACCACCAAGAAGACTAGCTGGAGAGGATCAAAGGAACATCGTTGGGATCCAGGGAGTGGTGATATTTTCTTTATTCTCTCTCTGTCACTCTTTCTGTCCCTCCCCCCATCTCTTTTCTATTTCTTTCTCTTCCTTTCTCTTGCTCTCTCATTCTCTCATACTTACTATTAAATAAAATCCATACAATTGACTTTGGCATATGGTCTCATTTGCACCTTAATTCAGGCAGAGGCTTTTCTAATAACTGTAAAAACTAGACCAGAGAGCACCAAACAGGATAAACTAAACCAAAGGACATAGGAGCTTCCTGGGCTGAGAAAAGAGAAACCACGACATGCTAACATAGCTCTGTATCACACTAGTGAGGCTGGAGGAATGTCCCCAAACAAGCCATCTTCACTGCAGTTTGGCATCCAGTCAGATGCATACTGACTGCTCCGGATTTCATCCATTTAATCTTGTGGATCCTAAAGCATTGTTTGCCATCCTATTTCACACTGCTGCATCTGTGCCGCGGAGCTGAGATGGCAAAATAAAGCAGCAGGCTTGGGAGCATAGGGAAGTGAGAGAGAATTGAGGGTCAAAGGGATGCTGCTCCCATTGGGATTATGTACCCATCCCCTTCCACAGAAAATGGTGATTTCTTTAAGCACCCAAGCACTGCCCTGTAGGACACTGCACACTTGTCTTGTTTTGTTTGGAGACTATTCGGCATATTTTGGACGCCACTGTTTTGTGCCTTCCCTAAATCAGCCCAGCTAGCAATTCCTGCAGTATGCTCTAAAAAATACATTAAGGAAAGGAAGTACTTAAGAGTGCTCTGAAATATTTGGTCATGAAAAACAGGCATAGACAGATAGGACTTCATAGACCTCTTGGGTCATCAAGTCTACTTCTCTGCTATCTTAGCCAAACACATCATTCAGAAACTCATTTAAGTCCATCCTAAAAGTCGTTTGGGATTTGTTGTTGTTTTTTCCACTGTTCTCACTGGAAAGCAATTTCAGAACATTGCTATTCTGTTGTTTGGAAACCTGCTTCCAGTTCCTATCCTAAATTTATTCATGACCAATTTATGCTCATTTGTTCTTGTGCCAATGTTGTCCTTCAGTTTAAACAGATGTTTTCTCTTCCTAGAGCTTATGCCCCTGCGGTATTTATAGAGGCCTCCCTCAGCATTCATTTTGCCAAATTCCTCTGCACTGCAGGCTCTCCTTTTCCATGGTCACTCTAATCATCTTTTTCCACAGTTTCCCAAAACTGAAGAGAATAATTTGTGAATAGTGTGCACTATCCTGGCTGATTTCTAACACCTGCCTCATACACCATTACAGGTGTTTCATTACCCTGGTGAAAATACCTAGATTTGTATCTGTGTTTTCCCTTCCTTAGTGTTTTCTTACCTATGAGCATGGTATAGTAGAAACCTGATTAACAAAACCTAGATACATGAACTGGCAGTCAAATGCTTCTGAATTTTGTCTAATTTATCCTACTCTCAAGGTCACTCAGTTCTTCCTAAATGAGAGTGTTATTCATCTCTGCAGTGACAGTGCCTCCCTCCCTTATGCCACTGGTAAATTCCATTAGCACACACTTATTTTTTTATGGGATCATCATTAATTAAAAATGTTAAATATTACTAGACCCAAGACTGATGTCTGAGAAGCCTTACTACCTTCCCTCAGTACTGATCTCCTCCTACCCTCACATTCTTACTCACTTTTTGATTTCTGTCTTTATCTCCCCTTTTAGGTAATAATTTCCCACATGGCACTGTACCAAATGCTGTACTTAAGTTTAGATAATCAGCTGTAAGCACTTCCTTTGTCTAAAAAATCAATTATGATGACATTTCAGGTGCCGGAACTTGTAGAAGTACTTGAGAAGTGCCAGTAGGGAGAGAGAAAATGAAATTACCTGAAGTTTTTTTAACACCTTTTGAAAGATTTGGGCTGATTTTCATTTTCAGATGAGCTGCTTCATTCATCCCTAGCAATGACATTTTCATACATTGTTGAATTTTATAACAATTCTGAATATTATAACATTAATGCAA